TAGTCCTTGGGGGTTGTGACAATGACACCGAGTGAGGAAAATGCTGAAACAGAGGCAGGGACTCCTCCCTGTAAGACCCCAGAGGAGAGAGGGGCAACGGGTCTCACGGAGCCAGTGAAAGACATTTCAGCTGGGTATGTCCAAGCTGGAAGGGCATTCCCAGCAGGGTGATCAGTACATGCAAAGGCTAAGAGGGAACATCTGGAAGGGCATTTCTGGGGATTTTTCAGTGCAGCTGCAGAGTACGGTGCTGAGTACAAGAATGGTAACAACAACTACTACTTATCAGTACTTGTTCCATGCCACACACTGTTCTCAGTACCTGATATATGTTAACTTATTTAATCCGCACTATAATCTTAGGAGAGGTGCTATTATTTCTCCCAACTGGGCAGAAGAGAAAATCAGGGCATGGAGAGGCTGTCACTTGCCAAGGCTGTTGGGTCCCTGGCAACCTGTGGCTTGTACGACCATGAGTGGGACTGGGGTTGTCTCTAGGGCAATAGAGTTGGCTGGGAATCCAGGATCTACAGCCTTGCTGGGACCTTCACTCTCTCTAGACTGGCCAAATGGAACCATTCATTCTGCCACAGTCAACCTCAAAGGGAGGTAGTTAAGATAAAAGGGAGAGTGAAGTGAAAAATATTCTTTACACTTGAGTCATCATCTAATATACTTCCTCATATCCATGGCACGTGCATCTTCCCCAGTATGGCAGGCGCACGTGGAGAACCCAAGGCCCACAGAGAGTGAACGGCTTGCTCAGGGTCACCCAGTCACTCTGCTACGGAGGCAAAACTAGAACCCAGAGCTCCACACCTCAGAAGGCCACAGAGTATAGGTAACATTCTAGGGTCAGATGACATCTGGATTGAAATTTTGGTTCTGCCATTTACTAGCTGCCTAAAATCAGGACATTTCTTGAATCCTTTGGGTTCAGTTGTTTCATCTATATCGCAGGTGATGATTTATACATTGCAGAGTTGTGAGAAGTATATGAAATATATGTGTAAAGAGTCTGGCATATAGTAAGTAATCAATCAATCAAGTGATCATGGTGATGAGAATAATGATGATGATGAAGGAAGAGGAAGGAGGAGGAAGAGAAGGAAGAGGAGAAGATGATGGTAAAGAATCCATCACTCTTTTCATAAGTCCAGGACCTCACCCTTCCACAAGATTCTACACTAGCTTTACATAGTCCCTCACTATGGGACATTTGGAACCCATGACAAATTTGTGCACAGATGCACGCAATTCCACACAAGGTTTCCACATAAACCTAAATGATACTCTTGGCTCTCTTATGTTTTAGTTACTGTATCTGCATGATGCAAATCCTGCCTCATCCATGCACTGTCCACTGAGCCCAAGTGGA